TAGCAAAAAATGGGACTGCTAGTGCTACCCCTGTAAAGATACAGTAAATACTATTAGTATTACTAATAGTAATATACTAGTACTAGCTCTAGTACTATAGCCCACGTACAGTTGCCGTAGGCCTGCGGCAACTTTACGCGTGCTATACTAGCTACTAGAGCTATACTACTATTACTAGTACTACTACTACTACTACTACTACTAGTTCCCTAACCAACTTACTAGGCCCCCTAATTGTGTATCGCATATTTTACACACGAGTGAACATGCAGACATAGTCTTAGAATATCAAAGACCGTCTTGGACGGCGCACAGACCTACTAATATTCGTTTTTTAGCTAATAGCTAAGTACCTATTTTCTTAAAATACGTTGCTGGCTCCGATCAAACCTGGCTGGCAGTGGTACGTTTCTCGTGCACTTATCTGCGACAAATACACTAACGTATCGAATGTAAAAGATCTTACCGCTAACACACTGAATTTTTTATTTTAGCTCTACAAATACGTTCTAATCCTTGTTAGTTGTGTCTACTCTACAATAAAAGTTATTGAATTTATCTCACATAATATACAGAATGGTGACAGCGGCGTCTATCGGCTAAGGCCAACAAAATCATTATGTAGAATGTTCACATAATTTGACCGAGCCCATGTAGAATACTGACATAAAACGCCGTGAGTAATGTAACAGTTCTACATTGCTAGCAGCGCGCTATTTGAAATAGTGACGTTGTTGCGCATGGGCGTTATGTCAGTATTTCACATACTGGTGGACGGATTAACTGCAGTTCGCCTCATGCTCTATATTTTCTGCGCGAACGGGCATGCGCAAATACGATATTTTCCCTTGTGAAACTGAGAAATTATTCGAAATGTGTATATAGCAAAAACGCACAAACGGATAGAGTTTACTGGATGCCCTAGAGTTGCCGACGGAAGCAGTATATCGCTGAATTTCTGCAATTTTCCTAGAGAGTACGTCGCCACCACTAGGTGCATGCAATAACAATTTTCGCTAGCGTCTCAGCCCATCGCAGAGGCGACGTCTGAAAGAGGAGGTGTACGTGTATATTATGTGCATATCGCCGTCGGCCGTACGAAAAAGATGGCGCGTTGCGAATCGCAAATACGCAGGCAGTCGCCGAATTTTACCATTGTGTTTACATGTGTTCCACACATGACAATTACATGACAATTGAATTTTACATGTGTTCCTATAAGCAGATAGCCCGAAAATAGTTTGAATGCATAATTTTGCCTCATGCTCAATATTTTCGGCGCGAACGGGCATGCGCAAATCCCATATTTCCCCTTGTGAAACTGAGAAATTATTCTGGACGTGATGCGGCCATGATGCCGAGGCGCGCCGAGGATTGACAGTTTGTGTCTTCCAATCACAGCCTACGCCGCACCCGTGTTTTTATAAGTTGAAAGGTAGGACCCATTACAGCACCAAATCGCCGATCTCAGGAACTATAGGGCATTCTGCTAGGCTAGAACGGTTTCCTACGATAGAGTTTGGCACAAATACAAAAATTAATTTTAAGAAAAACTTTAATGTTCAGTGAATGACGTACTTGTTCACTTCCGAAAGCGGGTAAAAATGCCGAATTTTTCCACTTCGATGCGAAATGCATCGGCCGGGCATTTCATTATTTACGAAAAGTAAATAGGCTGGCGAAAGACAGTAGGTACAGGAACTGGTGACGTCGGTGACGCCCCATTCATGCCCATCAACGAAGAAGGCGGGGCTTATTCTGATTTCGGAGATGCGAAAATGCAACAGAAGGACGTAGCGCAGTGCGCTAAACAGCGTGTTATTAGGGATTTTCGGAATTATTCCGCGCTACTCGATTGTTTTAGCCAATGAACGTAGCTGTGT